ATGACGTGTAAAAAAATGCCACCGTAAAAAAATGCCACCTCATAATAAAACATATTCAATTATATTTTTTTCCATGTCATTAGAGTTAAGCAAAAAAAAAAAGATTTGCTGGCATTTTAACGTGCCACCTGTCATTTAACTGACGGAAGGACCATTTTGGTACCGAAAATGAAAGTTTGAGGATAATTTTGGTACTTTTTAAAGTTAAGGGACAATTTTAGTACCAAAATGTAAAGTTGAGGGACCAAAATGGTACTTAAACCTTTTTTTATTTTACTTAAAAAAATTTATCAATAAATTACTGAAGATATTGAAACTCGGGAGGTACATATAAGTTAGTTTAGCAACGTATGTCATAAAATATATAGTGTAAACACCTAAGGTTTGTAGACAAATTCTACATTGCACAAGCATGTTAGGTCTTTTTTAAGAGATTAATGGTAAATGGAATAAAAATTTAGAATTAAAAGTTAAAATTAATGATATGATATAAATTATATGATTTAAAATATTATAATATAAATTGTATATTATTTAATAATTACTTTTTTATTTTTTAAAAATTTATAATATATGTTAATTAATTTAATAAATTAATATACATTACGTTATCAATCGCAAATTTTCCTTCTCAAATTTTCCACCCCCCCGCATTACTCTCTTGAAAATAGGAGACCCGTGAAGCGGACGACATCGCGGTGTTGGACGTGGACTCGGACTTGGATTTGGACTCTTGGGGCGGTTCGAAGTGGGTTGTTGCAACAATAATTAGAAAAGAGAGAAAATACCAGCTCCATGACATTGTCAAACAAAGACACATTTGATGGTCTTTTGCACATGCAATACGCAGTTAGTGAAATATATTGATTTCCTCCACTCTTAGAATAAAATATAGAAAAGAAAATACAAGATATTATAAAATTAACTTCATTATTTTTAAAACAAAATATTTTAAATAGTTGGATTAAAGAAAAAAAGTATTAGATTTAGTTTGACTTAAAATAATTGAATTTTAATATTAAATTAAAAATAAAAATAAGTAATGAGTATGCCTATAACTATGAGTTAAATATTTAAATTAGGTTGAATTTAATATTTTTTTTCTTTTTTGACTTTTTATGAGAAATGAGATTTTTGCATGACTTGTGGTATAAGGAAAATTTCTCATGAAATTTCTGAAAGAAAAAATGTTTCTCATCCCCATTTGGGAGAAAGAATATTCGTCTCCACTTTACACCCATGACAAGGATTTCTGCAAGATCCCATGTAGATAGGGAGAAATTGTTACCCCCATATCTTAAAAAATTACAAAGATACATTTAGCATTTGTTTTGTGTTTTCATTTCTAATTTGTATAGTCAATTTCTTACGGTAAATAATATTTTGTGTTCATATAAAAATAAAAAATAATGCTCTTACAAATAAAATATCAAATTTATCTTACTGTAACAGTCCCTTGCAAGGCACAGGTAGTATCTAGTTCTACATCGAACAGGCATATATGTCAGGTCTCCTGAAAATGGGATGGGAGACCCGTCAAGCGGACAATTTCGTGGTGTTGGCCTAGGACTCGGACTCTTGGGGCGGTTCAAAGGGGGGTGTTGCAATACCTTGACCGTTTACTTAGAAAAGAGAGAAAATACCAGCCCCATGACATTCTCAAACAAAGACACATTTGATGGGTTTTTGCACATGCAATACGGAGTTAGTGAAATATATTGATTTCCTCCGCTCTTAGAATAAATTATAGAAAAGAAAATACAATATTGTGCCGTGAAAAGAAAAAAAGAGTTCTTTATTATACCTGTCTCTAAAAGAAATAGTTGCACAAAAACGACTTGACTCTTAAATCTTGAGGTCTGGTGTGGTGGGCTTTCTTTGGACTTTGGATGTGTTTTTTCAGCGGATTGGCGTAGGACTAGGATGTAGCCTGTAGTGTAGGAACATATTGTTTGGGGCCTTTTAGCTATGGGTCATGTTGGTAATGTCATTTGTCATAGTTCAGGTCCACCAAATTGTTTTGGGTTTAAATTGGACCAATAGTCTTTCCAACCTCTGTGTTTTTATCATATATACAAATTGAATTCTAAATATATGATTAAGAGTATAACTAACTTAATTTTATCAATATACGATGGTTGATAGTCTTTCCAGGCTATGTTAGACAATGTAGTGAAGGGGACAAGGCATAGGCAATTTGGTGGACCTGCTTGCTTGAGGATGTGAGGGATGAAGGAGGATGAAAATTAGGGATGAACATATGAAAGACTGAAAACGGAAGTGTGAGGTTCGAGGTTGAAGACAAGGCTATTAGTCATTTTATTGTATCTTATTGTAAAATATTTAAATTTTCCACATACGCAATTTAATGACAAGGTGCCTCATCATCTTCCAAAATTAGCCACATCATGTCCCATTTGGTAGTGGGGTCCACAAAAACTAGGTCTCCATTAGTTTTGGATGATAAGATGACCTTCGTATAGGATTGTTAATGAGTTGAGTCGGGTATCTATATGCTTATATTTGAATTTTAAAATTTTGAGTTGAAGTTAAATTTGAGTATTTGTTGATTTCAAAATAGTTACTCCTACTTAAATTCACAAGTATTTGATTGAATTTGAACTTAATAGCAAGTTCGAACCAATGCGTACTTTAACTTGGATTTGATTTTTTTTTTTTTTTGTAATTTCAAAATGTTTCAATAATTAATTACTTAATTATAAATTCTTTTACATTTTTAAAATATATTCTAGTATCAAAAGTTTAAATATATTAAGTTCAACAATAAATAACAACCATAAACTCTATTTGAATATTTTTATTAATAGTTATAACTCAAAATACCTAATTTGTTTAAATTATTTTTTTAATCTTGTTAAGTTTTCAAATTATTATATATTTAAATTTAATAAATAAATATATAATATAATTTTTAGTTTTAAACTAAGTACTCATGTATAAATTATGAAAACTTGAATTCAGACTTTTTTTTATCAAACTCAAAACTAATTTAATCAATTAGTAAAATTTTTAAACTAATCTAATCCATTATTATATGATAACTAAATCAGTCTAACTTAAATCAGATTAGTGTGGTTTGATTAGTTTAATCAGTTTTTAAAACTATTAAATATATAATATAATATAAAAAATTTTAATATCAAGTAAAAAATAAAATTATAAAACACAATTAAAAAAACACAAATTATAAATGTTCTTATACTCCTTTATAATTATAAAAATTGAAAAAATTTAAAAATTCTTCTTAACTATATCACCAGAGACACCAAGGAAGGATAATAAAAGATGATTCCAAGTTTAAAGTACACTGTGAATAATTATTAAACATTAAAATTAGTTTTTTTTTAAATGCATCAATGACTCAATTTCATCTTCTAAATTTTGTTACAAGCAAATAAAACTTAAAATGAATATTACTATGATTTATTAGAAGTATTCATAATCACATTTATAACTCCTCACCAGAGTAGAGTTGCAGTCTAGTTTTGGAAAATAAAGTTGCATGCAAATTAGAAATTTAGAATTAATGATAGAGTACACAATTATAAAAGAAAAATAAATTAAGGAATATGGGGATGTTTTATTTTTAATTTTTTTAATTAAGTTAATGAAGTTATTAACTTGTGAAACAAGAAAAAAAATAATGTAATTAAATTATCTTATAATCAAGTGTTATTTTGTAATCAAACTATTCAAGTAATTTGAATTATAAAATTATAAATCAAATCAATTATATTAATTTTAAAATTTTACAAGTAAAACCGATTCAATTTTATATCGATTTGGTGTGGTTTTTAATTTACTTAGATTTGATCGGATTAATCCAATTAAATCAATATAAACACCCTTAACTAGTACTTCACATAAATAAGTAAACAAACCCAACTTTTTAAATTAAAGACTAAACATTAAGAGAATGGTTTTTTTTTTTCTTTCCAAGATAGAATGCACTTAAAAAAATTGTTATAGGGTGTGAAAAATACCATTAAAAAAAAAAGGAAAATGATTAGCTTACATTTAACGTTAGTTCCCACACTTTATTAGTCTCTATTAGTATTACACTCTATTACACTCTCATCGTACCAGCTTCCCACCTTCTTCTTTTTTCTTTTTTTTTCTCCTGGGTTCTCTTGGAGAACCCGACCTAAGTTCTCCGAGAACCCAGGTCTGGGTTCCCTCCTCCTCCTTTCTTTTTCTTCTTCTTTCCCTCTCTTCCCCTCTTCTTCCTTCTCTTCCCCCCTCTTGGAGAACCCATGGGTTCTCATGGTGAGAACCCACCTGATCTGGGTTCTCACCGTGACTGTGAGAACCCAGATTTGGGTTCTCGCATAAAATTGGTGACTTTTTTTTTTTTTTTGGTATGATAAAGAAAATTTGATTGGAAACATGGGTCTACTTGTGTGTGGTGTTGTTTTTCCTGAACTGAATTTTTATGGTTTCATGTTGAAAGAAAGATAGGGAGACGATTTATTCAATTTGAGTTTAGAGGAAGTGTTCCACTAAAATGTTGATAATTTCCTTGGTTGGAAGGGGGGGTTGGGTGTTTGGTTTGGGATGACTGACAATTATCCTGCAGATGATTAGAATGAGAATGGAGGTGAGGAGAAAAGTGAATCTGGTGAGGATGGAGACTAATGGAGTGTGGGAGCTAACGGAAAAAAGAATGTGGGTAAAGGAGTGTGTTACGGTCGAGTGTAAGTGAATTATTGTCCAAAAAAAAAAAAATCATTCAACTTAAGTTGATGTTTTTAAGTGCAGAACAAACAGTAGAAAAACATCCCTGAAAAATTAATATAGTGAACCAAATCTGTTAAGAAACGTAAAAAGAAAACCTGATTGGTTTTGCGGATAGCGTCGGCCTCGTAACGCTCGGAGAGATTGGCAGCAAATCGGAACCTCCGCTTGGGTTTCTTGACAACGCTGCAAACCTCCCTCCTCTTTTGCAAAACCTCATGGGAGGAATGCTTGGCCTTGACTCCACCAAAGTTCTCATTCAAGTAGCTCTCCATCACCTCCATGTGATCCCCTTCCTCTCTTTTCACAATCGACTCGCTTTCTTGACCATATATAAAATTAACCCGCCTCGTTCATTCAAAGTCAAATTACATAGAAAAGAGGAGAGGCAGGCAGCCAGAAAAGACATTATCATTTTCACTTTGAAATGTCTTCCTTCCAGTGTCTTCTAAGGAACTTGAAGCGAAGGCACTAAGAAAGCTGAAGCGGAGGCACGAAGAAAGCTGAAGCGAAAGCACTAAGGAAGCCGAAGCGAAGGCAGGTTAGCAGCCTTTAGTTGAAGGAAGAAGGTTGCGTTGATTGAGATTTGCATAAGAAAGAGAATACAATGGCTGGAATTGGACTGATCCGAGATTTGCATAAGATGACCTTCATATAGGGTTGTTAATGAGTCGAGTTAAGTATCTATGTATTTATATTTGAAGTTTAAAATTTTGAGTTTAAGTCAAATTTGAGTATTTGTTGATCTCATAATAGTTACTCATACTCAAATTCACAAGTATTTGATTGAATTTGAACCTAATTGTAAATTCGAAATATATTAAGTTCAACAATAAATAGTAATCATAAACTCTATTTGAATATTTTTATTAGTAGTTATAACTCAAAATATGTAATTTGTTTAAATTATTTTTTTTAATCTTGTTAAGCTTTCAAATTATTATATATTTAAATTTATTAAATAAATATATAATATAATTTTTAGTTTTAAACTAAGTATTCATGTCTGACTCATAAATAATTATGAGAACTTGAATTCAAACTTTTTTTTTATCAAACTCAAAATTAAGTTCGACTTTGACTTGTGTACTAAATCGGTTGAGTTCAAGTTAAATTTAATTCTATTAGTTACACATAAATTACTCTATTGGTTAACAACCCTACCTCTTCATATTGAAATGAGGTGTTTAGCAACATCCGTGAAGTGTTAAGAGAAAATTTTCCAAGAAAGAAGAAAAAAAAAAAAAAAGGCAAAAGAGTAAGTGCATTAGAGATTTAAATTTTAAAATTAAAAAAAATAGAAAAATAATTAAAAAAATTATTTTCATTGCATAACTTATAATCTAATACGTTACAGCCATTCACCACTCTCTAATTCCTTTTTGCTTTAACATGGAGAGTTGGGGGATAGAGGAAGTAAGTGTGGGCATTCGGATGGGTAACCCGTCGGTTACTTGGAAATCGAATCAATAAAATGAATTTGGTTTGATTTCAATGATATTCAGGTTTTATTGTTTCGGTTTTGATATTAATTAAATAAAATTTGATTTGATTTTGATTGAACCTTTTACAAATAAAAAATAAAAAATAAGCCTCTTGAAAATCGAAATTTAGATAAATATAACAAAATATGATAAAATATGAGATAAAATATAATTTATTATTAAAAAAAATTGATTAATATTTATTTAGTAAAAACCAAAACCGAACTAATTTTATTGGTAATCAAACTAATCAATTTGTAAAAACTTCGGTTCGATTTTGATTTTCAAAATTAAAGAAAATTTTTTTTGGTTATCTTAAAATTTGTTTCGATTTTAACCGAAACCGATTTTTGCCCACCTGTAAGAGGAAGTGTAGTCCAATGTTTTTGTTGGGACTTGATAAAACCCCAACGAAACAGCTCCAAAACCCTAAGGTTGGGGTTCAACCATTGGGTGATCTGGTTCACTGCACTTTTAACACATCAAAATCAAAAGTTTTTCTAAATAAATGCATTTTTCTAGTATTAATTTATATATATAAAAACGAGAGGGATAATTTTTTTTGAACGGTTTACAATGGAGCGAGGGATTCAAATCTAACCATAGAGA